CGTGCCAAATACTTTATAAGATTTATTTTGATGTCTACTAGTAATGGTAGTTCACCTATTTCTGCTCTACAAGCTAGATTTGATGAAAATTTATTCAATCCAAGCATTCTTTTACTAAATTTCAGATGGGTTTTCTCGATTGGTGTAATGTCCCATTTATTATTTTCTTGAATTTCGAAGCCCCATACATCTGATCCATATAATAGTATTGGTCTTATACATGTTTTGAATAGGTGTAACATTGTTTTGCAGTCAGTTTCTTTTGGCACAGAAGTCATCATTGCATATAAAGCTCTTGTGGCTTTGTCTGCCAAATTATTTCTTGTGTCGCTGAATTTACCATTCGACTGTAATGATACCCCAAGGTAGTTGTATGAAAATACACAACTAATATTTTGACCTTGATATGTAAATTTTTCAGTATTTCTCAAGTATCCTCTTTTAAATATTACAATTTTACTTTTTGACATATTCACTTGGAGTTTCCAATTTTGGCAATATTTCTCCAAATTATTGATTGATCTCTGTAGACCTTTATTTGTTTCTGATATTAAAACTAGATCATCTGCATAAAACAGTGAGCTAATTTTGATGTTATTAAGTTGAACTTGATCTTTGTCATTGTTTTGTATTGGACTATTTAAGTCATTGACGTATAGAGTATATACATATATATGATTGCTATTAATCAGTATAGTGGATGAAGAACGTTGGTTTGGAAGAGAGTGGTGTTTACATCATTGCGGGATTGCAATGTGGGATAGTTGCATCCTCAGCTAAATCAGCCACTAAAATGTGTACCAAATAAAGATAAATTTCCTATTGTCCATTTTTTGAAAAAAAATCCATATTTACTCTATTCCAGTACAGGTTTTAGGTTCACATAAACAAGACAGGCTTTGCTATAATGTTGTATCAGCGTGATTTCAATTTGGGTTTGCATAGCTTCACTTCACTGTCGCTACGGCAACACTATAAAACTGCACGTTTTGTAATCCAATCCAATTCACAAGTTTTATTGGTGACATTTGAAGATATAAGTATTTTATTGTGTGTGTATTTCAGGAAAACTAGATGAAATTAACCCTACACACTGTACACAATAATGCTACACATCACATTGAAAACGCAACTTGAACTCTGACCCCTTGTGATTTGGATATTTGTACTGATTTCTGTTATGAATTTAATATTATAATTATACATCTGTCACCATAACGCTATAAGTTACAGCATGCCGATATTTGCAGTATCATATTAGGAAACGTGAATTCCAAATATGGAACAAATACATGTGTAACTCTGCCCTCAGTGTTTGCCGAACCCCACACAAAGAAGTTCGCTGAATCTAAACGTTTTGGATTTCGGCATTCCCATGATGTATTCCTGGGAGGAAAAGATGTATAATAATGAGGTTATTATGAGGATACTTCAAAGTATGCGCAAAGACAGTACAGCGGGAGTATCGGCCGACGTGCAGCGGAGGTCGATGCAAGGCGTACTGTCTGATATTATTGCAAAATTATGCAAGACAGAGATAAGACAGAGAAACACAAACTTTGCAGAAAAAACGATGACAACCGTGTCTGTCTGGTAAAAGGTAGGAGCGTCATGGCTGCAGTCTTTCTTTTCATATTTAAGATATTTTTTCTATTGCGTCAAGTCTCTTAAAAAATACGTAGTTATTACCGTTATTTGATTACAAGTTTGGGTATCAATACAAGTTTGGAGATCGAAGACGAATTACACTTTCTTTTAGTTTGCCCACGATATCAAACAGATAGAAATGATTTTATTTCCAATATTTTATTCCCCAAAGAAATCATTACCAACCTGCAAAAATTCACATATTTAATGAAAAGTAATGACAGAAATATAATAAAACTTTTAGGGGAATTTTTACATTAATCATTTATTTTAAGAAATGAGCTTTTTTTGGATATAATACCTTGACTCTTTTTTTCTATTTTTTACGTTATCGTACTTTGATTTTTTTTTTTTTTTTTTTTTTTAATCACTTATATATTTATTGCTGTAAACCAATAGAACATTTGTAATTCTAAGGATGCAATAAAGTTATTATTATTATTATTATTATTATTATTATTATTATTATTATACAACGGGATAAAGGGCAAGCTTGTAAAGAATGGTACACACAAGCCATGGGAAAATATAAACAAAAGAGATTATTTACATATATGAAAAAAATAAGATACATGGTCAGTATGAATAATTTTGGGCAGGTCAACCAAATTTTTTTGTGTTCTCCTTCCTTACTAGAAATTACAAAATTTTTGTTGTTAAATTTTGCAATAACTTGATCAAATTTTTTATTGATGTTAACCATATGCACAAAAAAAAAGAAAAAAAAAAAAAAAGAAAGTGCACAACCATCAGTAATTATTGTGTTAATAAACAGAGGTCAACCTGTCAAATGAATTATGTGATTGGCTGAAAATCAGATGTAGATATGACAGCTGGGTTACAATAACAAATATGGCTGTACCTACTTCCTACCATTTTGAACTCGACTAAAATACGCTTTCTACTTTATGAAATAAAGTTAATGATTGATAATAATGCTTATTATTATACATCTGTCACCGTAACGCCATAAGTTAAAGCGCGCCGTAATTTTGCGGCATTTTACGGGGTATTTTCATCCTACCACATTAGGAAATGCAAATTCCAAATATGGAATGATTAAGCGTGTAAGCGTCCTCTAATAATAACAAGTCATTGATAATGAGACAGTCAATTTTTGAAAGTTCTCTTTGTGTTCGTCATATTAAAGTGGAGGGGTTGTTGCGAGCGTGTCCTTGAAATTGAGTCCCAGATTGTTTATTTACATCAAACACGTGTTGTGTGACAACCCATCCGGTTTAAGACATAGCAAAGAAAAACATAGATCACAAGTGAAAGCATGTCCAAGTTATCACATTTTAAACAAACAAGATGGCCGCCAGTCGGCCATATTTGATCAAATTGCAAATTGATTTTACATGTACATGTATCCATTTATGACATGCTAAATATCAATGAAAGTAATACATGGATGACAGAGATATAGTAATATGGCCAAAAATAAAAACAGCCGTTATTCGGCCATCTTTGATCTGATTATGAAACAAAGTGAAATGCATGATGTATGTGCCAAATACGAATGAAAATGGTACATAAATCTTGGAAATATAGTAATAAGGCCAGAAAGTCAGATGGCTGTCAATCGGCCATCCTTGATCCGATTTTGAAACAAATTGTCATGGACATGTATCCTAGCATGTATAAAGTATATGCCAAATTTGAATGAAAACTGAAAAAGCATGTCCAAGATACCATATTTTCAAAAAACAAGATGCCTGACAGTCGGCCATCTTTGATCCAATTGCAAAAGAAATTGTCATGGATATGTATCCTAACATGTATAAAATATATGCCAAATTTGAATGAAAACTGAAAAAGCATGTCAAAAATACAACATTTTCAAACAAGCAGTCTAACGGCTGAGATAGCTCCGCTGTTAGCAAAGCACATTTCAATGAAAGAACAGAAGATATCATTAGAAAATGGACAATATGTATAGTATCAAAGCAATGGGACTTGCTGTTTTCAACAAGAATTTAAAAATATCACTTTTCACCAAAAATGACAAAAAAAAATCATCAAAATTACATAATTGAAGATATCACCACAAAATTAACAAATCTGAAAGTCGTCCACATGTAGTATCTATATATGTAATATCAAAGCAATTGGACTTGTGGTTTTTAACAAGAAGTCGAAAATATCACTCTTTACCAAAAATTACAAAAATATTCACTAAAATTAGAGAATTAAAGATACAAAATGAACAAATCTGAGAGGTCCACATGTAGTACCTATATATGTAATATCAAAGCAATTGACAATCACTCATATGATAAGCTCCGCTTGACAAAGTCGACAGCGGAGCTAAAAACAAGATGGCTGCCAGTCAGCCATTTTGAATCAAATCGCTCAACCACTGCATGTGCATATGTCCCACATAAAGTACGAGGCACATGCAAATTATAAACAGAATCGTTCCAAAGGATTCTGAAATATGACTCTGGAAAGACGAACGAAGACCGAATTATAAGTCCCCGTTTTCGGACTTTGTCTGAACGGGACTAAAACCTAACATGGCTGCCACCAGAGTTTGACCGGAATCCACAGCTGTATTGTCTTTGTGCATACTATTAGCTATCTTTGTAATAACCTCATATTAATGTATTTCCCCACATTTCAGTGCAGCATTTTGCCTATTTTTATGGGTTTTTTTGATAATTTTTTTGATAATTTTGGACTAAACAGATATAATTTCCTATTGGCTATATGCCTTGATCAATTTTAGTAAAAATGTCAAAAAAATTATATGGGTTTCATTATGTAAATGGTAACAAATGTTGACTGATGATCAAAAGGTTAAAGGTCAAAAGGTTAATAAACATTTGTTATTTATACTCACTGTCCTGCGGTGTATCCACGGATTCATCCAAACTAAACCGACTTTCAGTCGTCGGTGTGTGTGCCTTAATAGCGATCAAATAACGAGTAAAAGGCTTCAACGAATTCAATACATACTGCCTTAAATTGCTATAACATGAAGAAGAAAAGATATCGTGAAATACGATTCGATACAGATAGGCATACTTAATTCACATGTGTGATTACAAGAAACAGGATTATTTTCGTAAAGAAAGACAAACAAAATAATCGTAAATATTAAAACCTACCTAGTCTCTCTTCGCACCATGGTGGCATTAGCTGTATACAAGGGTGTCACACGAAGAGTATAGCACACAATGGTTAACATCGTCTGTGGCTTATCCCATGATAAATAAATGGCAGTAGAGTTCAATGGCACTATATTATTAATATTAGGATATGGTGGTACTGGCAGGATCTTATCTACTGGCCCTTCACTAAGATCTGAAATTTAATAAGAGAGTCACTTTTGGGAATCGTCATCAATAATAAAATTCCCGCTGTTGAAAAGATATCAGTTTTTACTGTTACTGTTTTACATAGTTTATGCTTGTGTTTTGTACTGTTACATCTACTTTTCAGTTTTTCATTTTTCAATATTGTGTTGGGTGAAATACGGATAGAATTTAATTGGTGAATTCATTTACATTAGATAATGTACCCACAGTCAGCTGGCGCACACGTGATGATAAAATAAATACGATATTACTATATGAGGGCCGCCTATTTGAATGATGCATAAAACTATATAAGAGACAAGTTGTGAAACGCGTTTTTCAAACCCCATTTGATGGTATTTGGATATATGAATCACGAGATATTCAATGATTCAGCATTAATATATACGTTTACATGAATGTTTTTTCTGGTTCATATGGTTCTATTTTTGGTTGAAACTACCTGTCTTATTAGAATAAGGCCAACAACAAATTGTTATGTTGCCCTCAGTGACGACCGAAAAATATTTTTTTTTTTAATAGGCCCAAAATTACAAGCTAACCATTTCAAGCAGTAAAATAGTGTTTCCTCCAAAAATTAACGATCCTAGACCGTTGTTGGATCCCCAGGGTCCCGAGGGGATAAGTGGCGACTTTGAACCTCGAGTTGATCTGTATTTAATTACGAAAGACTGAAAGAAACACTTTGATTTTTGTGTTTAATATCTAGCATGCGTTTGATTGAATCCCATATCCCTCAGCTATTAACGATACCCTTAGTTTTCACAAGTTAAAAAAAAAAGAAAAAAAGACTGACCGACCGAATCAATTTTTAATTTCCTGACTTGAGGGCAACATAAGTTTTTTTTTTTGGCCTAATGTAAAGGTGAACAACAACTTAGGGAAGACAGAATTATTATGGCATGTTGGATTCTAATCAAATTTCTTACACACACCCTTGGGAATTTCAAAAACCTTTTTTTTACAATAACAATTCATAAAGTCTCTTTATTTTTGTCAAATACTCAACTATAAAAAGTCACACCACTTGTTCCCATGACAATCAAATATACCCATATTAGTATACTTACCGGAAGTTTCAACGTAACCAGTTGCATCCCTACCATCGCCAATCTGATTGTAAGCAAGCAATTCTACAAAATATCTGGTTGAGGGCGCTACAACGATAATTAAAATATTGATTATTATATAGGCTGCATTATAACAATTTTGTGTAATAGGAGATTTTCCGTACAATTGCGAGATCTCGCGAGATGTATGAAACACGCGCGTCGAACGTCTGCCACAAAAATCGAACGATTTGATTTTGAACTACAATTTCTTTATTTCGTAACTCACATCGACCGGCCGATCTTCGACAGAGGAATATTGCTTCCGAATACCCTTATTTAATCAAAATTGCCTATCATCAAATGTGGACAGTACATTATTAAGCATGGAAATGTCCCCCAAAATACTTCGCGTTTGTCGAATCCCACGCGATGTTTTACGCCACTACGACGCTATGACCTTTGTTTGTCCTGTTTTTACGTTTGATTTCACGCATAACGCGTGATTCTCGCAGTGAACGGAAAATGGTCTATTAGGCTCTTTAAAAATGTTGATACTTTTTAAAAAATAATCGCCTACATGTATGAGCTAACCACCAGACACCCCCCCCCCCCCCCCGGAAAAGGGCAATTTCTTGCAAAGAATGAACAGATTTGGTCCACAGGGTTTTGAAATCTGAACATAAACATGTTAGAGATATGTATTCAGTACATATGCTTGATTATGATGATTCATATATATAAATGTACCAAGATGAGCCAAGTACGGGTGAAAAGTACAGGTCGTACTTTTCAGAAAATAGCGAGTACGGGCGATATTTGTAGCGAGTACGGGTGACATTTGTAGCGAGTACGGGTGATATTTGTAGCGAGTACGGGTGGTAATTTAGCAAGTACATGGAGGTAATTTTAATAGCGAGAGCGAGTGATAAATTGTAGCCAGTATGGAGGGTGGTGGTAAAATATAGCGAGTACGGGGCGAGGGTATTGCGGGGTAAAATGTACAGGATTTATACAACAATTACGGGTGCAGCAAAACACTCCATTGAGAAATAAAATAGAATCTAACGAACCGAAACTAGTTCCATCTTACAAAAACTAAATGGGAACGTGAAGCAGCCATGTTTAATTAATTATATATTCACGCAATTTTACCCCTATGACGTAGCAAAACGGACGCCTCGTAAACAAAAGTGCCCCGTATATAACATTGTTTCACTGTAGTGTACATTTTTGTTGAGTAAGCTAGTGAATCTATGGCATGATTAAAACCTGGGCTTCGAGGTGTGATCATGTTGAAGACGTAATTGTCTACATGATGACAGCGCTTTTCAGGGTGCAGCAAAACACTCAATTGAGAAAAAAAATAGCAGTGGAACGAACCGAAATTAGTTCAATCTAACAAACCGAAACTAGTTCCATCTTACAAAAACTAAATGCGGACATGACGCAACAGTGTTCGTAATAACATTTTTGTCTAAATATAACATTGTTTCAATGTAGTGAACATTTTTGTTGAGTAAGCTAGTTGAATCTATGGCATGATTAACGCCTCGGCTTCGAGGTGTGATCACGTTGAAGACCGTAATTGTTTACATGGTGACAGCGCTTTTCAGAAAATAGCGAGTACGTGTGATATTTGTAGTGAGTACGGGTGATATTTGTAGTGAGTACATGGAGGTAATTTAGCGAGAATGAGTGATAAAATGTAGCCAGTATGGAGGGTGGTGGTAAAATATAGTGAGTATGGGGTGAGGGTATTGTGGGGTAAAATGTACGGGATTTATACAACAATTACGGGTGCAGCAAAACACTCCATTGAGAAAGAAAATAGCAGTGGTACAAACTGAAACTAGTTCAATCTAACGAACCAAAACTAGTTCCATCTTCCAAAAACTAAATGGAGATGTGAAGCAGCCATGTTTAGTTAATTATATATTCACGCAATATTGCCCAACCAGCCAGTTCACATTAAATATTGCCCCTTACCAGCCAGTTCACATTGTATATTGTCCCTTTACCAGCCAGTTCAATTTGAATATTTCCCCTTACCAGCCAGTTCACATTAAATATTGCCCCTTACCAGCCAGCTCACATTGTATATTGCCCCTTTACCAGCCAGTTCAATTTGAATATTTCCCCTTACCAGCCAGTTCACATTAAATATTGCCCCTTACCAGCCAGCTCACATTGTATATTGCCCCTTACCAGCCAGTTCACATTGAATATTGCCCCTACCAGTAATGATAATGACATAAATTTTCCTCCAACACCTTGTAATCTTCATTATCATTACAGGCAAGAGAGAACAGAAGAGAAAAGAAAATGATGAAATAAATACTTACAAAGTCCAGACAAGACGTACATCATTGCATTACTTGGTAACATCACAGGCCCAGTCCGATGTTCTTCATTTTTTGCTGAAGCATAATAGAGTTTGAATCCTGTAATGGGGCTGGATACATTTCCTAACTGCATTGACCAATGCACCTTCACCGTGCTTGAATTAACTTGTACCAATTCCATTACTGGAGCATTGGGAACTGTTGAAAAACATACAAAAAAATAAAACATATAAAATAAAAAATTACTTCTAAGAGTGCTGTAAACCATTTACAAGTCACTGTGACCACCTAGGACCCAGTGAAAGTTGCTGTGATTCCCTAGGACCTGGTGAAAGTCACTGTGACACCCTAGGATCCAGTGAAAGTCACGGTGACTCCCTAGGACCCAGTGAAAGTCGCTGTGACACCCTAGTACTTGGTGAAATCACTGTGACACCCTAGGACCCAGTGAAAGTCACTGTGACTCCCTAGGACCCAGTGAAAGTCGCTGTGACTCCCTAGAACTCAGTAAAAGTCGCAGTGACTCCCTAGAACTCAGTGAAAGTCACTGTGACTCCCTAGGACCCAGTAAAAGTCGCTGTGACTCCCTAGAACTCAGTGAAAGTCACGATGACTCATAGGACCCAGTGAAAGTCGCTGTGATTTCCTAAGACCCAATGAAAGTCGCTGTGACACCCTAGTACTTGGTGAAAGTCACTGTGACACCCTAGGACCCAATGAAAGTCATGGTGACTCCCTAGGACCCAGTAAAAATCGCTGTGACACTCTAGTACTTGGTGATAGGCACTGTGACTCCCTAGGACCCAGTGAAAGTCGCTGTGACTCCCTAGGACTCGGTGAAAGTCACTGTGACACCCTAGGACCCAGTGAAAGTCGCTGTGTTTTTCTAGGACCCAGTGAAAGTCACGATGACTCATAGGATCCAGTGAAAGTCGCTGTGATTCCCTAGTACTTGGTGAAAGTCACTGTGACACCCTAGGACTCAGTGAAAGTCACTGTGACTCCCTAGGACTCAGTGAAAGTCGCTGTGATTCTCTTGGGCCCAATGAAAGTCACGACGACTCATAGAACCCAGTGAAAGTCGCTGTGATTCCTTAAGACCCGGTGAAAGTCGCTGTAATTCCCTAAGACCCAGTGAAAGTTAATGTGATTCATTTGGACCCAGTGAAAGTCACTGTGACTACCTACGACCCCAGTGAAAGCCACTGTGACCACCTAGGACCTAGTGAATGTCACTGTGACTCCCTCGGACCCAGTGAAAGTCAATGTGAATCCCTCGGACCCAGTGAAAGTCGTTGTGATTCCCTCGGACCCAGTGAAAGTCACTGTGACTCCCTCGGATCCAGTGAAAGTCACTGTGACTCCCTAGGACCCAGTGAAAGGCACTGTGACGCCCTCGGACCCAGTGAAAGTCACTGTGACACCCTCGAACCCAGTGAAAGTCGCTGTGATTCTCTAGGGCCCAATGAAAGTCACGATGACTCATAGAACCCAGTGTAAGTCGCTGTGATTCCTTAAGACCCGGTGAAAGTCGCTGTAATTCCCTAAGACCCAGTGAAAGTTAATGTGATTCATTTGGACCCAGTGAAAGTCACTGTGACTACCTACGACCCCAGTGAAAGCCACTGTGACCACCTAGGACCTAGTGAAAGTCACTGTGACTCCCTCGGACCCAGTGAAAGTCAATGTGACTCCATCGGACCCAGTGAAAGTCGTTGTGATTCACTCGGACCCAGTGAAAGTCACTGTGACTCCCTCGGATCCAGTGAAAGTCACTGTGACTCCCTAGGACCCAGTGAAAGGCACTGTGACGCCCTCGGACCCAGTGAAAGTCAATGTGACTCCCGCGGACCCAGTGGAAGCATGACGGTGACTTGCTGATCCCAATAATATATTCACTGGTTACCTTATTTTCAAAAAATACAATGGCTGCCAGTCGGCCATCCGATCATGAAACAAATCTTCATAGACATGTATTCTTACATGTATAATGTAAGTATCAGATTTGAACAAAAACTGACAAAGCATGCATAAGATACCACATTTTCAAAAAACAAAATGGCTGCCAGTCAGCCAACTTTGATTGAATCGTAAACAATTGCATGTGCATATGTCCCAGATAAAGAACTAGGCACATGCAAAGAATGAACAGATTTGGTGCACAGGGTTTTGAAATATGACTCCAGACAGACGAACAGAGACTGAATTATAAAATTTGAACATTATCAATCAAAGCATGTCAGAGATATGGCATTAGAATTGCAGTGGTTAATTAAAACAAAATGGTCACCAGTCGGACATTTTGAATTCGATCTCAAAAACAAAATGATGTGCATCAAGGTCCCATATTGTCCAATGTATGTACAAATCTATAAACAATAAATAAACAAGTCATTTACTTGTAGGATCCGGATTGGCTGCTGTAGTTCTTGAACTCCATTCGGATTTTACACCCTCGCCAACATTGGTAGACGCAGACATAGCGATATGGTATAACGTATTGCCATCAAGATTATTGAGTAAGTAATAATTTAAATTACTGTCCAATTCTACTACAGATTGCTCTGTTGTGGCTTCATTTCTGTAGAAGATTTTGTAAGACACGATGATGCCATTTCTGTTCTCACTGGGTATGGATTCCCAGTATATCAGGATGATGTTCGGACTGTTACTAGACAACGTGAATGTTGGTGCTACACTAGGAACTAAATGTAGAAAAAAAAACATAATTATAAGACCCAAAAACTAAAAATGGCTGCCAATCGACCATATTTGATTTGATCAAAAAGCAAACTGACATACACATGACATCATGTATTGTTGTCTTAGCAACAAATAAGATTGGTCAAAGCATCTATGAGAAGCGATTCAGTATAGTTAATTTGTTGAGTGTGTTTTGCTTTTGCAATTGAATATTTCTATAGTTAGTGTTACTAGGCAAACGATCTGCAATAGTCTTGATAATAACTTTTTTGTTTAAATTACATTTTGTATATTTGCATATGCTTGTGCAGTAATCAATTTTGCAAGAAAAACAAGCAGTCTGTTGACTGATATAGCCCCACTGTGTAGTTGAAAATAGCAAATTTTTACTAAAAATAACAAATATATTCTCTAAAATTAGATAAAAAATCCACTTAAGGTGTCTACATACAAAATATGAAAGCAATTGGGCTTGCCGTTTTCATGAATAAGTATAAAATGTTAAGTTGACACCAACATGATAAATGTGTCATTCTTGGGAGATACTTGTGTCAAAACCCGGAACTGATTCGTCCAAGATTTTGTGATGTCAAGAGTTACAAATGTATACTCTGTACATTTTGATATTTTATCTACCAATAATGTCTGTTGTGCAGTTTTTTTTAAAAAAATCCAAAAAAAAGTTGGGAGAATCTATTTGGTAACAGAGTTTACTTTCAGAGGATAAAATGAGGATCACTTCGTCAACAAAAAAATCATGATTTAATTTTTTGTTAGAGGCATTAGTGGCAAATGGGACATTTTTTGTAGCCTGATCTTAAAGTAATTCACTGTTAATGACTGGCAAGGTATTAGCTCTCAGTTTACATCCATAAATAAGTCATTGACTTGTGGGACTCACATAGGCTGCCGTTGCTGTCGAACACGTCTGAATATGAGCAGAGCACTATCTACATTCACCCTCACCCTATTTATAGAAATGTCATGGTGATCTCAAAATATTTGTGAGTATTTATCCATCCTTTTTCAGTGTTACTAAATGCAAACCAATTAAGCAAAAATACAAAATTTGGACATCAAAAACCCATTTTTCAATTAGCCTCTTCATTTTAGCAAAATGAAGCATGTATAACAGTGCTTGAAATTTTAAACCTCAGAAACCACAAGACAAATCATCCATACATACCATCTTCCAGCATCTTGAAATACACAAGCTCCGAGGATGGACTGATGCCACGACTTGTGTACGCTAACACATAACACATATAACTACTGAATGGTGAGAGATCCTCTATGACAAGATTTCCTCCTCGATTGTCAAACTCATCCGCTATAATATCTGACTCCCGACTGTCTAAAAACCAAAAAAAGATACATAACAGGTTAGTGTATTATCTAATTTACAAACCTTAGAGTAAATTCTCATTATCAGCAGCATAAATGTCTTCATTTAAATGTTTCATTTTAGCCAAATTTTAATTATTATTTCATATTTTAATTAATATGCTCATAATACCAAAATTGAGCTTGTTTGACATTTAAGAGACAGTGACTGGTAAGTTTAAAGACAATCAGATGAAAGTTGTTTGGGTTCTTGCAACTACAAAAATAATACAATTTTGAGTGAAATTTCTTCAGTTTTCACATACCAAAATAGAACTAGGTCAGGATACAAAACTGGTTAACACAATATCAACATTTTAAAGAGATTAGATAAAAACTGTTTGAGTTATTGTTATCACAAAAAAGGGTTTTATGGTGGCATCTACAAACTACAACTACAAGGATGACAGATATTTTCTCTTCATTCAATATATCTATCGCTTCCCATACAATGTTATGGGTAAGGTATTAAAAACCATGCCTGACATCCATGCAGATCAGATACCATGTCTGAATCGAGCATGATGCATATGCTTCTGTTTGTTTAATGTCAACTTTTCAGAGTATTAAACCCAAATCATCAGAAACTCCAAGATAGAATCATTGCATCTTACTATTAAAGGGTAAATAACCAGATTGTTAGCTAGCTATTAAACAGTGTTTTTAATAGACCATTTTCCGTACACTGTGAGAATCACGCGTTATGCGTGAAATCGAACGTAAAAACAGGACAAACAAAGGTCATAGCGTCGTAGTCGCGTCAAACATCGCGTGGGATTCGACAAACGCGAAAGTATTTCGGGGACATTTCCATGCTTAATAATGTGCTGTTCACATTTGATGATAGGCAATTTTGATGAAGTAAGGGTATTCAGAAGCAATATTCCTCTGTCGAAGATCGGCCAGTCAATGTAAGCTGCGAAATAAAGAAATTCTAGTTCAAAATCAAATCGTTCGATTTTTGCGGCAGACGTTCGACGCGCGTCTTTCATGCATCTTGCGAGATCTCGCAATTGTTCGGAAAATCACCTATTAAGTGGGGGTTAGCCACATGAAAATCAAGAGTAAAGGTGGTAGTTATAGACATTCTATGTCGTCAGGCATCCCCCGTCATTTTCGTAAGCAAGTTTAATAGCTTTCTTAGGTATGACACAGAGCCATTGTTCTAACCTATTGGCATTGTGCCATTTAATGCAATATCATAATGTCAACCAGTCTTAATGGAACACAAAGACTTTAACCAATGAACACCAAATGCAACAGTGAAAGGCAAATTCAGGGCTAACAACATTATGCTCCCAGATGAAAGATGTGAGAAAATGCAATTTACAGTTTTTTTTATATCACTTTTCATCAGTTTATGTAGTCCACCATTTTGATTTTTCAGCAAAGGATTATGGGTAAAATATGACATCATGACATGCGAGAAAATGATTTCATCTATAACTTCAAAAGTTGGACGTCAGATTGGTTGAAAGTTTAGAACATGGTAGTATACATGTACCAATTCCAAAAATGCATAAAAATAGTTGTCATGGCAACAGAATTGAAAATATCCATTTTTATGTTTTTCTACCAAACGCTCAATTCATATTTTCATACAATTTATTGATGCAAGGTTATACAGGTGACATATAACCTGTTGACCACAAAAAGAGGACAAAAAAGTGTCATTCCATTTTTAATGACCAAAATAAAAATTTTTATTTATTTTATGTTTATGTTTGTAACATTATAATTTCCATTACAATAATTATATACATGAGTGAAATGCACACCGGAAATTTGAACTAATTTGCATCAGTATTTCTCATGTTATAGATAAAAGTATTTTCTCAGTTTTTTACAACAGTGGATATGATGTCACACTTTACCCACAATCCTTTGATAGATAATCAAGATGGCGGACTACAAAATACTGACCTCCCCTTGAATGCATCTCAAGTTAGCAGGACTTTTCATTTAGTTCAAACCCATGAAGAATTTGAAATTTAAACGTCTACTGTCCACAAATCCCATGCCAACTACTACACAATCGATATATTTTGTATTGATGATATTATATTACAAGAAGACCACAAAGTACCATACTCATCCAACTTAGTGCCCAGCTTAGGGGGGTGCTTAGTCAAGCACTCCGCTCTGAAGAACGACTAAAAGACATGCAGCATCGTCCTTTAACCTGATAGGTCAAGTCTGTTACTACCATATTATGTTGTATCGAATTCCTGAAGGCATTTTGGTAACGCAATGCGGAAGTGAATTATGAATGTAAATCTGTTAGAATTGATTTCGGCAAAAAGTAAAAGTCAAAACAGACAGCATTTTGGAAGAGATGGGTGCTTAACCAAACATGAACCCGAAAACAGAAATGGCCCAAAAGTGAGGGATGGGCGCTTAGTCGAGCATGGATGAGTACAGTATGTATGGATCATCACCAAAATGTAGCCGAGGTTGATGATGCATTCCTGTACTGCCTGAGTGCATACTTTTGAAATAAATGCTAGATATA